CCTAAGAACTGGGATGCCTAAGAACTGACCAGCACCTGTGGTCAGAGTTGAATTGGTCAGCCCCCTCTCTTGTAATATTGCAAATATGATTGTGTTTCCCTAGCTTTTTTCACATAATCATAGGTTCTTTTTCTCCTTTTTGTTTTTTCCCCATGTCAGGTAATCCAATATTTATCTGTCTTTGATTGAGGAATTCAGCAAGTGACTTTCCACTAGGCCTGTGAGAAGCTGGTAGTATTTGCTTCAGATTTGGATTCGGCTGATTCAGGGGGCAGTGATTCCATTTGGTAATTCGAATCACTTATTCGGTGATTTTGGCTGCTGCTGAATCAGCTGAATCTCCAAATCACACAGGCCCAGCCCCTCCCCCCCCCAATGGCTGCTCCACCTGCTCCAGCTCCCAGGCCTTTAAAAAAAAAACAACCCCCCCCGCACTTGCTGGTTCCTGCCTGGCTGGGCTGGGGGGCAATCCCCACTGCCCTGCGCTGCATGGCGGGCTCTGCACAAGCCCCCAGAAGCTCCGAGGCCATTGCAGGAGCTGGTGATCCCAGGGTTTTTGTTTTTTTCTTAAAGGGCCAGGAGCTGGGGCGGGCAGGGCAGCCATGGTGGGGCTGGGAGAGCGGGGGGGCTCGTGACAGGGCCCCCCCACACAGCATGGGGCAGTGGGGGGCAGCAGGGATTGCCCCCCTGCAGGGCAGCAGCCAATAACGGGGCTTTTAAAGCACCGGGAGCTGGGGCCGGGCGAGGCAGCCATGGGGCAGGGGCTGGGGAAGCAAGCAGGGAATAGAGCTTGGCAGGGGTCCCCTCCCCCCTCCTCCAACCTCCCCTTCCCCGCCCCTACTTACCAGCTCAGAGTCTGGGTCCAGCTCCCTGCTGCAGCAGATGAGGACGGCCTGAATCACCGAAGCTCTCCAAATCGATTCGGAGAGCTTCAAATCGATTCAGACCTTTTAAATGGTTCCTGATTCAATTTGGACATTTGGCCACCCAATCAGGCCAAATCTCCTCTGAATCGAATCAGCACCTGAAACTTCACACAGCCGTACGTTCCACCCTGCACTGAAGGTAGCTCTGTAGTTGAATGAGGCCACATATAGATTTTTTCACTGCTTTTTTTAACACGTTCTTCACAAAGCATGCTCCACATTGTGCTAATCCATTAATTTAAGGATATCTGGGATTAGATGACTCAGGATCAAAGTCAGAAATTTTAGCAAAATGTATTGCCATTCTTGATATAATTCTTGGAATACCATGGCATGCAAATAAAGATCTAATGCATTTGACAACAGATGCAGCTATGTTATCTTCAAGCACCACTGCTTCTGGAAAATTAGTATAGCAATCAAGTGCTTTAAGTACTTTGAAAGATTAAAGGCTGAAGCACAGAAACATTTTTTTTAATTGCACATAATTCTCATTTGTTTTTGCTACAATGACATACTGCTTCTGGTCAATATTATGTGTGACTATCCCATGTAGCAACTAGGATCATCCCAAATCATCAGGAGTGCATCGATATAGGAGGAGCTTACACTCTTACTTGCTAGCACCCAGTATGACCTAGTTGGCTTAATGGAAACATGGTAGGATTCTACTCATGACTGGGCAGTAGGGTGGGTGGCCAACTGGCTTAGGGACCACACCCAGAGAGTGGTGGTGGATGGGTCATTTTTGGCCTGGAAGGAGGTGGGCAGTGGTGTCCTGTGGGGTTCAGTCCTTGGTGTTATTTAATATCTTCATCAGCAATTTGGACAAGGGTGTGGAGAGTACCCTGTCCAAGTTCGCAGATGATACCAAGTTATGGGGCAAAGTTAACACACCGGAGGGCAGGGAGCAGATACAGGTCGATCTGGACAGGTTGGATCAATGGGCAGAACGAAACAGGATGCAATTCAACAAAGATAAATGCAAGGTATTCCACCTAGGGAGGAGGAATCCCCAGCACACCTAATGGTTGGGGGATGACCTCCTCAGCAGCTCAGCGGCTGAAAGGGATTTTGGAGTCATAGTTGACTCCAAAATGAATATGAGCTGGCAGTGTAACAATGCCATCTACAATGCCAATCGCACCTTATCGTGCATTAGCAGATGCATGACCAACAGATCAAGGGAGGTGATGCTCCCCCGCTGTGCGGCATTGGTCAGGCCACAGTTGGAGTACCGTGTCCAGTTTTGGGCACTGCACTTCAAGAGGGATGCAGAGAATCTGAAGAGGGTCCAGAGGAGGGCCACTCATATGATTAGTGGCCTCTGTGCAAGACCTTATGAGGGGAGGTTGAGGGATCTGGATCTCTTCAGCCTTCACAAGAGATGTCTGAGGGGAGACCTTGTAGCAGACTATAAATTTATCAAGGGAGGACAACAGAAAATTGGAGATGCGCTATTTACCAGGGCACCCCTAGGAGTAACTACGAACAATGAGTACAAACTAGTGGAGGGTAGATTCAAGTTAGACATTAGGAAGACATTTTTCACAGTAAGGGTGGCCATAATCTGGAATGGGCTTCCAAGAGAGGTGGTACTATCACCTAACTTGGAGGTCTTCAAGAGGAGGCTAGATAGGCACCTGGCTGGGGTCATCTGACCTCGGTCCTCTTTCCTGTCTGGGACACAAGATCAGACACGATGATCCTTTGGGGTCCCTTCCGACTCTACAATCTATGAATCTATAAATATCGGTTGGTTATAGGATTGGCACCGATAAAAGGAGAAATTATGTTATCAGCTATTGGCTTTTTTTGGTTGTTGTAGACAATAATTATGTCCCAGGGGCACCCTGGTGGGCATAGTCTGGTCTCCGTGCCCCACTGTCGACCCAAGCCCACGGCAAACTACAGATCCCGGTGAACAGTGGGAGGGGAAGGGGGCACCAGAGACCAGTTACAGGTCGCCGCACTCTGCAACAAAGGGACTGTTACCAGATCCTGCTGTGGCCATAGCAATGCTGTGCACACAGCAGGGGCAAGCACCGGGGCTGGTGAGAAGATGTTGAGCTGCACACAGGTCGGGTAAGGAGCTGCACAAGGAAAATTCCGCTCTACCAGGCACCGGGTGTCTTTGCAAAAGTGGCTTCTCCCAGGCAGCTGTGGAGGACCCACTAGCACTGAGGCAGCAGTGTGCTCTAGGGCTCCAAATGCACCCAGTGCTGGTGTCCACACAAGGGTCCGCCTCACCCACCCAGGATAGCAGCATGGGTTGCGCAGGGAGCGGGGCTGAGGGTAGGAGCCATGGGTGAAGGGGCGATGTGAGTGTGTATTAGGTGGTCTCCTCGTTCCTCGTTGAGGGCTGGAGCAGGCAGGTGTGTGTGTCTGCTTTAAATACAAAACAAAAAAAAAGGTTTGCTCATGTCAGTGGTTTAAAAGGCTTTGCACTGTTACTAAATATTAGTTATCAGATCAGCATCAGCAGATATGGTTGGTTAATCATTGGCTATTAGTATCAGCTAAGAAAATCTTTACTGGTGCACTCAATCTTTTCTATCTGAACAGAACTTTTCTATTTGTAATTTTAGTTTTGTCCAACTCAGCAGTTTGCTTTAGTTCTGCTTTGTAATCAATATAGAGTATTAGTTGTGTGAACAGTGCCTGCCAGAGGCAATCTTCTTTTGTTCTTCCCTTTCTTAACCCTACAGCTGCCGCCCTACAGCACAGCAATTTGTAATATGGCTTGTTGTGCCATATTAATTTACCTGTCTCAATGGAGGACCTGCATCCTGTACAAGCGTTTCTTCAAACCAGAGCCTCATGCTCTGGACAAAGAAATCTGCCATCATCCCATGTTGCAAACTAATTCTATTTACCATCACTTAATCTATTTCCCCCTCTTTTTTTTTTGGCCTACATTATTATCTCCTTGTGTTCTACCTGTTATCTCTGACTAGAAAGACATTGAACAGAGCGCTCCAGCTGCGACACAAATGAGAAATCAGACGACATCCGTTTCCACCCTCTGATCCTCACTGCTTTTTGTGCACCCATCTACTTGTGTTTCCACTCCTCTTCCCTCACTCAAGCTGTTGAGCAATCAGTAAAACAAGTAGAGAGCATAGGTATTAATAAGTCATTTGGTATTGTGCATTGGGCAGCTTTACATTGCTCGGTAACGGCATTGCTTTTGCAGAGAAAGCCAGGAAGCCCTAACAGGAAGCTCAGGTTCCAGGTCTGGTGCTGCAGGGCTGGTTTGATTTTTGACAGACAAGGCAGAGTGACAAGCACATCTCTGCTCCTCTTTACAAAACAAGAGTGAAAGCAGTGCGGGCCAAAACCAAGGGACATTCCAGCGCGCTCTCGGCTCCAACACCCCGCGATGTTCTGGAACAGCCCCGCAGGCCCCGCCCCGCGCGGGAAGCCGCTCCTCCCCCTGCAACATCAGCCCCGCCAGCTGCCTGGGGGTTTCAGTCTCTGCCACACCTGCGAGCAATCGCCTGCCCCGACACGTCTCCCTCACCTCCTGCTCTGGGGCAGCCCTCTGCTGTCTGCAGCTTGGCCCTCTGCCCTAGGCCCCGGACGGGGGGAGGCGGCCTTAGGCGGGCAGGAGGGTCTGGGGTGTGAAAGGGCCGCGTACAGGCTGCCAGGAAGCGGCGAGACACGCAGGCCTGGGCCGAGGCGAGGCGGGGCGACCCCCTGCCCGGCAAGGGGCTGGGGGCGGCGCCCGCAGAGCAGCCGCCTGAAGCCCCGCCCCGCGCTCGGGACAACGCCCGCCCCCTCCTGCGCGCCAGGG